AAACCCCAAAACCCCACAAATCTACTAAACGACTATTAATGTAAAATAAAATTAATATGAAATTTTAAATCGTTAATTTATTATAATATAGACTTTATTAATCAGGCTAAACAATTTTTCTAACGATATACTCAGTCCTTTCACGTCGGAATTCTTCCTATAAATAATACAGCCACACACTCAAATTCAAATTCTCCATAAGAAAACTTAGGAGGAAGGTACTGGCTTAAAATATGAAAGTATTTTGAGAAAAATTTTGAACCTTAAGACAAGTTGGCTATTAGTCATATAATTTGTGAGACTTAGGTATAAAAAATATTAATACTCAAAAAATATGAATATAAAGATGAGTGACAACTCAAGATTTCAAGAATTGAGTTTGTCTCAAGGAAGCTCATAAAATCAAATGGAATTCGATTCAGACAATTAAAACCTCAAAAAAGTGCTTGATATACTAGATAATTAGCCTGCACAGCAAATACAAATACGCAATCAAAGTATTGAGAGGAAAATGGCGGCCTTCAAAGTCATATAATCGGAGGGTTTGTGCAATGAGATCGAGTCACATTAATAAAGTTATCCGTTCTCTCGAAATCAAGGATTTTCAAGATAAAATCTGCAAAGAAATGAGAACACAGACTTTGATAATGTTGCTCATTCAAAGTTTTATACTTAAGATCATCATTAATCTTTTGATATTCATGACAAAGAAAGCGCATTTGATAAATCTCAAAGCTTTTGCCAATAAATTTCCTAAGCTTCAGGCAAATTATAAATAGGTCAAAATTCTATTAATTCAGGGGCTATGTAACCACAATATATGTACAATTCACATTTGGCTTCACTAAGATCATTACATGATCACTCTACACTACCCAGCAAAGATGCATTGAATGAGGAAATGGCGCCTAATTTTATTTCTAATAAACATTATAAAGACTCTCTAACTCCTAGACTCTAGCATTAGCACTAAAGTTACCCTAATTCTCTTTAATTTATTCATCCACAAGTATTACAAAATGAATAAGCTACTAGAGTAATGATTAATGCTAATTTTGGGAGAGAAGTAGAGTACATAACTCCAATTAAAATTTAGACTTCAACCCTATAATATGGGAAAAATCAGGCCTTGACTGAAGTAAAATAAATGAATTCTGCAAAAAAATCTACCATTTAGAATTTGGAAAATATTAGAAAGCAATTTCTTCCTGTCCATGTAATCACAGATAAATCAAGTAAAGCAAAGATATTGGATTATCAAAACGGAAAACCAAAGAAGTCATCATGCAGCGGCAAACAAGGCACTACCAAGTCCAACATTAATCAGCAATTATCATCATCACATCATCTTCAAAATTTTTCGTCTGACATCTAGGGCATAGAGTCAAACAGAAGAATGAATAAGATTAAAAACAAAAAAAGAAATGCCAATAAAACAGAACCAAGCATTATAGAATAATCATAATTCATGACTGAGTCACTCTCATCTGTAAGATCAACTTTAACTGTCTAGACGTATTAGATCTAGCATCTAAATTCTTTAGAAGAGCTGAATAAAAACCTGAAGGAGCAAAAAAGACAATACATTTCCCTTTTGGGAAAGCAAGAACAAAATTAATATGAATCAATCTAGATCGATGCTGATCCTTGCTAAAAATATCATGAATCTAAGATCATCATCAATTAAGAGGAGCAAAAAACTTCAAAAATTAATAAAAAAGGCCTTTAAATTTAGAACTACTAAATTACGAATTTAAGCAGAAATAAAAGCCAATGGTTCAACGAAAACCCAGCTTAAAAGATTGTTACCTTTCAGGAGCATTAATCAGAAGGCACTCTTACAAAGTCAAAGACTCAAGTATTTTAACAGCCATTTTTTTCTGTATAAGAAAAAAGCGCCACTTTTAGTTAGCAGCAAATTCAGACAGAGAAAAGAGTAAAATGCAATTGCTAAAAAAATCATTGTGCTTAAGCTTACTGTGATTGCCTGAAGAGTGGCAGTGCTTGTGATCCTAAAGTATGTTAGTGCCAAGAGTGTGAGAATACTGAGCATAACAATCAACTGAGAAATGAGATAATAGTGAAGCAACAAAAGTAAGGAGGCTAAAGGGAGGGCTGCAATTGCAAAAACTCCTAATGCCTTAAAAAGTACTGTGAATGTTTTCAATAAGGTAACGGATGTGATCCTAAAAAATGCAGATGCCAAGATTGTAAGAACATTGACAACAAACTCGTGAAGACAAATAAGACAACGGGTGTATCAAGACATACACAGTGATTGAGTAGGTTTAAGTAAGCTTTCTAATTAAAGTGATGGTTTCAGATAATTATACCTAAAAATTGCAAATAAATTCTTGCACAATCTCTATAAAAATCTTATTATAAGTATATTTAATTAAGCCAATTGTTATTCAAAATTAAAATTAACACATCAATCATAATTATAGGTTCTAATACATTAGCGACAAGTGGGTTTACTGTTTTCTCAGCCCTTATTGGTAGATCACTTTGTTTTCTTAAGTTTTTTGTGAGTTGAAGACTCTTCGATTTACTGTGGGGTATCTTCGTTCTTGCCAGCACTCTTCATTTTTCTCTTTCTGCCAATAAGCTCCTTATGTTTCTCTATCTCTTCATTTACAGCTTTCAATGCCTTTTCCTCATTCTTCTATTCCTAGTCTTCAACTTGCTCTTCTTGATTTTACTCTTGAGCTGGGATAGTTTTATCTAGCAATACTGAGCTTTCATTCAGCTTTTTCTAGCCAATTTTTTTCTAGGAGATTTTATCTGAAATGTGACTCAAGAATAAGTTTATTGCCTTTTATTCTATTTCATTTAGACTCAAGTTCTCTTTTTAAGAGTCAATATATAGTTTAAGACCTTTAAGTAAGCCATCTTGTTATTGCTAATTGAGAAAATTCTTGTGCATTAGGTACTTGACGCAGTATAAAAGTGGTAGATTAGTCTTATCTTAAACAGCTAATCTTATTAGCCCCTCGACCATCTTGAAGTAGGCTAACTCATCTTATTGCTTATTAAGTCCATTAGCGCCTTGTTGGTTCTAAGGCTTATTACTGATTACTACTAGCATTATTGAATTCAAGAAAGTTTTGATAAAGCTGTTTATAAATACCAATTTAGAGTAGATTTCAAGGGTAAGTATCGGCTCAATATCATCAAGTCCTAATTGAACCATTTCCTTCTTAATATCTCCAGGTGCTTGTTCCTAGAGTTTGTAGATCTTAGAATCCTACTAGTGATAAATTGAATTGATTATCTTAAGGACAAATGAGTAGAAAATCCCTTTCTTTGTGTCAAGAAGTCTGTCTCTCTGTTTGTAGTTGTAATAAAGTTTTCTAATTTCTTTGCTTACTTAAGGATCCTTGCTAGTGCCAAAGTTTATAAGGAATTCAACCCCACTCTCTGAGATCAAACAGTTAAAGTCTCTGGTGAAAAGACTTAGCAAGATCTTGAATTGCTCTTAGACAACATATTCATTGCCTTTTAGTCTGCCACTCACATTTTAGATAAGTTCATTGATAAAGTCCTTGACTCTAGGGAAATCATTGATGCCTTGGACAAGATTTCCTTTCACAGATCTGTTTTCTCCACTTGCTAGGATTAAACACTCAACAATGTACTTCAAAATGACAATCTGAAGTTGCTATTCTTTCTTATATTGATTGTGCAAGTCCATATAAAAGTCTACTAGGTGATGCAGCATTTTTTGCTGATACTGAATATACTATGAATGACTTTATGATTCTCCAAGTAGTTGATCGATAAAGGTGAAAGGCAATTGCAGCATTGAATTGAATTGAGTCTCTGACAAATGACACATGATATTGTAGTGATCGAGGATCATTTAGGTATAGTTGATGATACTAAATGAGCACATTCCTTTCAGATACTCCGTATCTGCAATCTATTTGATTTGGATCTGGGCCATTAAGACATTAAACTTGCTGATGAAGCTTAAAAGCTCAGCATCTATATTTTTCTCAGTGTTGAAGAGCTTTGGAACCACCTCTTACTAAAGCTTATCGCAGTAAGAAAGGCCTAACTCTCTAAGCTGTCTAGTAATCTCAGGGAAAAGTTTCTGCAGCTGAGTTAAATTAGAGATGCTCCTCTGAATGATAACGAAACTTTCAGGGTGGCGATCATCAACTAGTGTGTTATCAATGACTTTTAGCAAAAGAATCATTATGTCCTTAACTAGCTCATCATTGCCATCATTTTACGCATCTTTTTCCAGGTGCTTGCTGAGAACAAGCAAAGAGCTCAAAAGAGGCTCAAGGATCTTGGTCTCAACTCTGAAAGTTTAGATGAGTTCATTCATTACTGTAAGCTTCAAATAAGCTGTCTATGACTCCCATATTTTGCTGAATACCAGATTTGTACAATCTTTTTAGTTTTTCATAGCTTCAGTGTACAACAGAGCAATTTTCATTAGATTGACAATTACTTGTTTAGTAGAGTATTCCAGTTCTTCCTTCTTGAGTAAATGAGTCATACTTTGAACATCAAACATCACTGAAGTCCTTCTCTGGAAAGTCTGGAAAAGCAGAACAGCTCTTTCCTCCTATTCATTTTCGATTCTTCTCTGCAGTTCATCTTTTGAGATGTTAGTCACAGCCAACTCATTTTGGTCTTCTACTCTACCATTCACAGTCAACAGCTAGGCACCAGTTTGAACATGCTTTTCGAACATTTTAATCAGCTTAATTAGTTGCTTCTATGATTTGTTTGGCTCGTCCTCATAGTTTAGTGTAAAGTTCTCTGGAAGTCCTTTCTATGGGTTGACTTTCTAAAGCTCAAGTAAAGTGCTGACATCGTCAAATTCATCTGATAGAGTCAATATAAGACCACCAACCTCCTCTCTAATACTCAAATTTTGGCTGTGGACTAGATTCATTAACGACTAAAGAATGTCTTAACTGTATAAATCTGGTATAATCTGAATTGCTTTTTGAATGATTTGAATAGCTTTGAGAGCCATCTAGGTATCTTAGTTCTTCTCATTCATATTAGATAGATTAAACAGCATCATTTTGTACTTTTGAAGAGATGCCTCCACAACTTTCATGGTTGATTGATCAAGATTGAACTTGTTCAGGAATTGATAAATGATCTAAAGTGAAACTTTTTTGATTTAAGTGTCTTCGTCTTTGAGACCGTCAAAGATTGCATCCATATATAATGACTGGTCCTTTTAGTCTTGCATAGCGAATGCTGCCTAAAGTTCTCTTTCATCTAGTTGCAAAAAGAACTCGTAAACACTCTTTCTGACAATTACTTGAGCATCTTGACTTCTCTTTAGAATCAAGTGCTGTTAAATCGTGTCTATGTTTCCTTGAATTTCATTCATTGCTGCAGCAATACTTTCAATTCTTTTCTTAGTTTGATTAGCTTCAGATGATTGTTTAAGTTTAAGCTCATTCTTATGCTTCTCTTCATAGCCTTATTTTAGCTTTAATAGATCGCTTTATTGATCAAGCTAGAATTTGTAAATGTAGAGACCAATATAGCTGAATGCATACCTCACTAGCCTTTATTGACTCTTTGAGAAAATGCAAACTCTCTTAACAATTGCCTCCAAATATGAGGCTTTATCAGGTAGTAGGTCTACTATATTGGAGATAAAGATCTTGCAAACTCTCTTTAAAAGCTTTTTCTGCTCCAATGCCTTCTTCTCTTGAGAGAAAAATACTAACTTCTAAAAAGAAATTTCAAACTTATCATCTGAGGAGAAGATTGATAAGAGTTTTGACTCATCTCTGTTCTTTGAGATAAAGTTTGCATTATACGATAAGGTTTCTAGCTCAGAAAATCCGATCAGTTCCAAGAAGTACAAAAACAGTGTCTTGACGATGAATTCTTCAGACTTATCGTGATGAGCAAAAATCTGATCGATAATCATTTTAATCTTTTGAGGCTACTTCTCAGCAAGGGCTAAATTCAAATCAATTAACTTTGCGCAAAAACTTACCATAGAGTGAGAACATATTCCCTATTACTACTTGAGATTAGCTCATATCAAGCTCCTCACTTCTTTCCTCCTCCAATTCGATCTTTTTCTCATCGTCTAAGAGCTTCTTTCCACTCTTTTAGGCTGGATTTGTTCTGCTTCCACTGCTGTTTCTGAGCTTTTCATTAAGTTTTCCCTTTGTGGCTTTGATTATCTTGCCATCTTTGTCATTTTTGACTTCTGATTGTATTGGCTTAGCACTTGAAGTTCTTTGCTTAGCGGATTTCTACAATGCTGAGTTATTTTTTTTGTTTGAGATGTCTTCTAGCTTTCTTTTCTTATTATATTAAGCAGTTGCACTTGACATACTACAGCGATGTTAATGTTAAACTTGATCTTACAAAAATGAAGTTAAAATATGGAAATTGCTTGAGTTTAAATTTTTAAATTAATTTTTAATCATTTATGGAGCCTTTAATATACTCTCGGGGTTTTGGGGTTTTGGGGTTTTGGGGTTTTGGGG